CCTCCTCCAGGTGAAACCTTGGCCTACCTAGCCACCTTAATCCCTTCAAGCTTTGTGTGGGGTGGTCATCACAGTGACCTTGAGTAAATGACCAACTTCCCTGAGTTGGAGTTTCAGCATCTGTATAATGAGGGTAATAATGAAGCTGGTCAGAAAAGTGAGTAAAAAATGTCCATTTTTAATGAAAATATTTTCATAATTTTTTTCCAAATAGTTTCAGATGAGAATATGTTCCTATATTATAGGGTTGTTGGTAAAGCTTAATTTGTTTTTGGAAAACTCTTTTCAGATCCACAGAGGGAAGGAGATATATTAGCACATATCAAAACTTTTTTTTTTAAACTTTGACTTGATTTTTCTTCATCATCAAAGGCTCCTATTGTACTAAACTTGAACTTTATACTTTTCCCCATTTCTTAATTATACAAAAAACTGTCATTAAAATATTTAAAAGCTTTTGATGTGTCAAAAAACTCCTCATAAAAATTACTGAACCAATTGTCCCTTTGCAAAAACAAACAAAACTCTAAACACCACAATTCATATTTTGACTGAAACAAATCATGGCAAGACTCAGCACAAAAGTAAATTAATGGATAAAGTGAATGAAAACAGACTGGAATGCCTTTCTCTAACTATACAGTGCTTACTGCATTGAAGTCTAACAAGGAAAGCAACAACTGAGAATGAAAAGTGCAATAAGTTTGGAAACTGAGCATCAATGAAACTGCTGCAGGATAATTTGGTTAATATTTCATCAGTTGGGTTATTTATTGGTTAATCATTACATCAACACTTATAAGATGGGTTTCAAGCTAGATTTGTCACTAATGGAAATTCATGCAAGTACTCTAAATGGAAGTTTAAAGAAGGGGTCAATGTTTTGTTTTTGGCTCTTTCAGTTACTGGTTTACTCAAAGTAATTTATTTCTGGTATTTTTAAAACTCAAGTATAAGAACAGGACTTTTTTGAGGTCTGACAATGATTCTCCTCTGCCTTATATTTTTTAATGAGCCTGGATCAGAGAACAGAAATTACCGTTTTCATGCTTCTCTACACATTAGTACTAAGCAACCACCTGTCACTGCACATATGAAAAGTCTGGCTCTCCTAGCACTGTAGAAGATTGTTTGATTGCAGAAGACAGATCACCTGCACTTCAATGTTCAAAGCTGCTCTATATTTGTTTTTCAAATCCAGCAGATTTTAAAAGCTAAGCTCAAAATAAGAATTAAAAAACTACAGTAATTCTACAGAGGTGAAATTGTACATCCTGCCTTAATTCTGGCATTAAATTACAATCTAAAATAAAATGTATGGAATATAGGATTTGTTGTTTGTTTATGGTAATAACTCTTTCTCTATTTTGCCACTCCACCATAGAAGAAAACCTTAGAACAAATTTTAATGTCAGAGGGCACAAAGTACAGGATTAGGAGTTATCTTATCTGGTTTCTCTTTCCACTTCTTGTGTGACTCAAGGTAAATCACAGCCTCACTGTGCCTCGATGTCCCCATCTGTAAAATGGGGATAACAACATTACCTTCACCTCATATTGTCATGAGATTAATTCATTACATTGAGTTTGTCATATGGAAAGTGCTATAGCAGTAGTTCCCAAACTGTGGTCATCCATGAAGTACTTGATAATGGTCCACAGGGTGCTGACTTGGCATAGGGTTCTGGCTCTCCTCATTCCCAGCTACTAAATAGCATTTTTCAAAAAGCTAAAAGAACATTAAATACTTTCCAAATAATCCATTGCTCTAACTGCTGTGGAGATGCAATGCCATGTTGACTGGGAGTGGAGATGGTGCACACACAGAGAATTACACACAGGAGAGAGGATGGTCCACGAAACAATCTTGTTATTAAGGGGTGCTCCACAAACCTTGTCTAGAAGCCTGGTGGCATCAGGTGTTGAGATAAGAATCACATGGGGTTTTGGCTTCTCTTCTGAAGATTTTGTATCTTCCCCCAATATTCACTGGATAAAATGACCACCAGCCTTCATCATTGATTAGTATTAATATGGTGGTTTGTATCCAACAGTGAAAACAAAATGACCTCATCCTATCCCATCTGATAATGTGAGAATGACATCAGAACTCATCCAATTCAGGACTTCATATACAGATAGGTCTGATAGGGGCCCAAGGAAAGGATTGTAGATATCCCTTATGGCTTGCCAAGGAATTCCTAGAATGCAGGTGAGCCTGTGGCAAGAGTTCCAGAGACAGAAGATATCTTGGTGGTCTCAGGAAAGACTTTGGAACATCAGCAAACTCTGCTTAGAGGAAGTGCCAATGCAGGCCTGGAATGAGGAAGGGGGTTATATTTAGGTTCTTTCAGCATTTAGTGATAGTCTGATGTTAGCTTAGGGATTGCACTGGCCACAAGGAGGCTCAGAAGTATTCATCCCTCCATATCAATTGCCTGGAACTTGTTGTAGACTTATTCACAATTTGACAAAGACAGACCACTTGATTGTGTAACCTGTTGCACAGACAACATACCAACCATTCTGTATATCAATTACACAGTCAGTACTTACTCTCAATAGCGGACAGCCCTAGCAAGTAGATTCTGGTAGCTGTTTCAAGAACTAAATTTCAATTCAGGCAGAGGAGATTGCAGGGTTGAAAATTACAGCACCTGACAGTAAATCAATCACATTATTGGATACTGGATCTACAGCAAGAAAATATGCAAACATATGCAAAACTAAGAGTCCCTGGTATTTGGGACCCTTGAGAGTTAACTTCTTGAAACCCAACTTTTCAGCCAGCTGGATGAATTGTACAGCTGGAGACAGACCCAAGAGGCTCTAGCAGTGGATGCATTCCTGTTGTCTTGGATCCATTTGCTGTCCCTCCATTTATCATGCTCACTGTTTCTCATGTAAGGCAACAATAATCCTGGTAGCATGGTTGACACCAGCAGGAATTGCCATTCTCCAACCCTATCTTATTCCCGGAGTCGGGAAACATCACCTCAGATCCAAAAGGCAGGCTGCACACAAGTGTGATAGCAGATTCTCTCCTCGAGGCATAGAAGATTTCCAGAGTGCCCAGGGTGTTGTCCTGGGGCTAGCCCATGTTGTACAAGACAGAAAGTTATTTAATTCAGCCTGCTCATTCTACATTTGCTGGCTTTTTTCATGACAAACAGAATCTGGTTATATATCTGTGTGTTTGGGAATGCAATTCCTTATTACCACCCTCACCCTTTAATGGGGAAGTAAGACATAAAAGACAATTAATCTGTTCAGTTTAGCCATTCATTCAGACTGACATAAGGTCAATTTTTTAGTCAAATCCACATGGAGTGTAATGTGAAATGGTTCAGATCTCTGGCTCCCAAATACACAGTTCTCAAGAAAGCAGGGAAGAGGAATACAGAATTAGGTCTACATCTGTAATGGCACCATAAGTGATGGTGCATAGGATCCTGCTAAACTATTTAGCTGCTCTTTAGGATTTCAGGAGAATCAACTGCCAGCAGCCTGCAATGTGCTTATACTTTTGTCCAACAAAAATATTTCCAAAGATTTCTAACTATGGATACTTTCATGGGACCTTAGCACTTTGCTGTTTAGAAGCAACTGAGTGGAGCAAAAGGAGACAGGTGGCTACTGCAGACACAAGCAGCCATATGGCACCTGCATTTTCAGCTAATAAATGAGTCTGGTTAAAAGATCTGGCTGATTTTATACCCAAGCCCTCAAATTAAACTGCCAAAATAAAGCACATATCTAGTCATTCTACTGCACCCAAAAAACCCTAAATGATCATGCATCCTGGTACCACAACACAGCAAAAACTGCACCTGACATTTGGATCCGTGTAAATAAAGCACGTGTAGACACTCCTACTGTGCCAATATAATCCAGATCATGATGCATCTCAACACAAGAGCACAGCAAACCCCCGGTCTGGCTTGTGCATCCTGATCGATCCAGCCAATTTTTGGCCTCAACCCTCCTAAATCTCTTGCATAAATAGAGAGGAAATGTAGATGCTCATCTTACACCTAAAAACCCAACAGTACTGCCCATCAGTGCTTCCCAGAACAAAGGTGCTGCAAAAAGCTAGATCCTGCCACGGTTTGTTTATTTGTGTCTCAATCAGCCAAATTCCACTGCTTGAATAGAGAAGATGTTCACCCACTCCTGCTGCACATATAAATCCAGAGCTTGTGTCCCTATGCAACTGCGCCACAAAGGGTTAGATTTAGCAATCAGATTTTCCCCGAACCTGACAAATGTTGGTGCAATTTCTGTGGGTGTGGCCATCAAAATAGAGACAAAGTATCACTGCTATTAGCTGCAGATGCACTAAATTTAGACAGTAAAACTAAGGGACGGGTGGGAATACCAGGTGTGATGCAACCAAACATTAGCTCGGACCAGCAGGATACAGGTGCCAGTGTCGCGCTTTTGGAGTGGCTTTGTGCCTGGAAGCGCAGGGGGTGCTGGCTTTGGGGGGTGGAATCTTTCTTAACAAACTTCCCAGCAGTGTAGGAGGCAGTGCAGCAGCCAAGTCATCATTCCCGCTGGCCTGTCACATCCCCCGCCACCCCCGCTGAGAGACCGACAGCCCTTAAAAAAACAAATCTCCGAGTCATCAAATGACAAGGCGAGTGCCGGAGGGTGTTGTGACTCCAGCAGCAGCTGCCCGCCTTTCCTGCCTGCAGCAGCCGGGCAGGGGCGCTCTCCCCTCGGAGCTGCCGGCAGCAGGAGCAGCGAACACCTCCCCCGGCGAGTGGCTGCCCAGGCAGAGAAGTTCGCTCAGCCCCAGCCGAGCAGAAGGAGGCGGCTCCCGCGAGCTGTGGGGGGGGAGCGCAGAACTCGCCTGGAGCTGCCGCTGCCTGGACCTCACCCCGCGCCCCCGCCAGCCGCTCACTCCCTCCTGCTCTGCCGAGCCGCCGCTGCTGCATGAGGCGCTCCGGGCTGGTCTTCGGGGCCACCTGTTCCGCTCTCCTCCAGCCCGCGCCCGCGCCCACTCCCCCGGCCGGCCATGAACGCCTCGCTGGGCAATCAGACCGAGGCGGCGGGGCTCTTCTTCGCCAACAGCAGTGACTCCCTGGAGCGGGCCCTGGGCTGCTGCACCCAGGCCTCCGTGGTGACCGACAACGGCTTCGTGGTGACCGGCCCGGACGAGAGGAGCCTCTACATCATGCGGGTGGTGCAGATCGCGGTCATGTGCGTCCTCTCGCTCACCGTGGTCTTCGGCATCTTCTTCCTGGGCTGCAACCTGCTCATCAAGTCCGAGGGGATGATCAACTTCTTGGTGAAGGACCGGAGACCGTCCAAAGAGGTGGAGGCGGTGGTGGTCGGGCCCTACTGACAGCAAGTGCCTCCCGCTGAGGATCCGCCCAGGAAACAGGTGGCACTTTCCGCAGGCCCTCGCTGCTGCTGCAGCGGCCACGGGTGCCTTTTGTCCGAGGGGGCCAGCCCCACCCCGGGAAGGGGAGCGGAGGCGCCTCGGGACCCGCTGCGGGCTTGGGGGCTCTGTCACTGCTTGCTGCCCGGGGACGCTCGGATGCAAGCCCCGGTTCTGCCGCGGCTCCTGAGCAGGGCGGCTGGGGGGGAAGGACACAGCCCCAGCAAAGCAGTCAGGGCGCGTCTGTCTCTGCTGTGTGTTACAGGGCCAGAGCTGAGCCTCTTGCAGCGCCTTGTATATAGTGATTGTAACGCACTTTGCTGCTTGGTTTAAAACTGGGGGGTGGGGGTGGTAAGGAAATGCTGATTGTCAAATGTTAATTCCTGTTTTAGAGATTTTCCTTCCACGGTTTTTCATACGTTTGATAACAGCCAGGACGCTGGCTCGGTGGGACGCGGGTTGGCAGTTCGTTGCCTCTAAACAAATAACACTAACAACCACCATGTGAATGTTTTGAAGTTGTCTTTCTACTGTAGCGTTTTTTGTAGCCAGGGTCCGAGTCCCTCTTGCGCCTGCGAGAGCCGGCGAGCCTGAAGGCTGAGCCCTCGCTTCTTGTCTATGAATTGCACGGTTTACACAGCGAAAAGCGCTCGGGCGGGAACTGTCTTGGTTTGGTTTTTCTGGTTTCATTTGCTTTAATAAATACATCTTAAACTTTTCGACTCTGCGGTCTCAGTAGTCCTTTTGCGCTTCCACAAACAACGATGAAGTTAGCTGAAGAGGTCTGCAGGAAGGAATACAGCATCTGGTCTGCACTTTGGTAGCTCTCTGCTACTCAGCGGAAAAAAAGGTTATGGGGGGGGGGGGGAGGGGATAAGACATTTTAGAAAACACAAGAAATTCTACTATTGCAACACCGCGATAATCTAGAGGCAACGCCATTTCCTTTGCAATTATATTTTCCAACCGTTTATGAGGTCAGTGGGATTAAAATAATTCAACAAAACTGAGGTCAGTTTCAATCAAGTGTAATTTCAAGGCTCGTCCTCAGGTGTTAGGAAGGAGCTGGGAGAAAGGATACGCGTCTCCCACGATATGATCCACCATGGAAAACATGTTACGCAGCTAATAAAAAGTGAGGAGTAGTGATCTGCTAGTAGTCATCACTACTAGAACTATTTTTAGAAAGGGAACTTTGATGAAAAAAGTATCGACTGAATCGATGTCCGTGGCAAGTCGATTTAGCCTGAAATATACATGTCCAATACCTCGTCTTTGCAACTCAGGAATCTTCCGTTTTATTTTGCCTTTTTTTTTTAATTCCTTTTTAGCAATAATGACAAATAAGGGCGATGAAGGCTTTGTGTGCCGAAAACTAGCATACTTTTAGATTGTAAGACCAGCACTTAAACAGCTTCTAAATGCTGGAGTCGTGCCAAGAGCCAGAAATGTGCCTTGGTTCTTGACACATTGGTTCTAGCCTTGGATCTGTGCTATAGCCCGAGTTTACGGCTTGTAGTGTGTGTGTGTGTGTGTTTGTGTTTCCCCAGAATATTTTCAAAAAATTAGATAAAATCCTGACTGAAAAGTGCCTCATTGTGGTCACATTCCTTTAGGGTAAAAACTACACACTAAAAGGTTTTGAGTCTTCAGTGTATTTATTTCCTTTAAAAGGATAAGAGAACATCCTTCTATGTGGAGTTTTGCATGCCGGTTTATCAAATCCCTAAGGGCTTGGACTAGTTGCTAGTGGTAAATCAATACATCTGCATTTGCTCTAGAAGTAAAACTGGCATAAATGCTGTCACTGATAGAAGGCATGCAAAAAGACTTCAGCAACCTGTCTGAAAGCCAAGTGTCTCTGTCACTGACGTACAAAATATTTAAGCAAGACTTTGTTGACTGCTATTTTAAATTCCAATATGCAAGCAAACCATTTTAATTTTTTCTTAGACTTTTCTTTAAAAAGTTTTTAAAATGTTGCTTGATCCATCAAAGGCTCATCAAAAAGACATCTGATTTGACCAGGTCTATTGTCTCAATCAAGTTATTAAAAAGTTCCTGCTTCAGTTGATCAAGGTAACATTTATTAAATACAAAATGCACAATCAAGTTAAGAGAGGATGAAATTGAGCAGGTTCTGAGACTATAGTTCCACTATGAATAATATACTGATAAATAATGAAGCAAGAAACAGAATTTACACAGTTCAACTCAAACCACAAGCAGAAAATTCCCTGCAGCTCAACCATGCACTCATTCATCACTGCATTTAAAGGAAAGACAAGGAACAGATCTGCCTGCTTCCTCTGGAATAAATGTGCTATGGAATTTGTTATTGAATCAAAGTAAAGTCACGTTACTGAGACATCTTTCAAATGAGACACTGGCAAGAACTTTAGTCACAACTCAATCTGTTCCTTAATTCACCTTTCTTTTTTGTAGCTGGCAATGCAGTTGGCTGACAGAAGCAATAACTCTGAATGTATAAAGTTTACTCACTTGAAACATCACATCTAGACAGCGTTGCCAATAACCTGAGTTGCAAATGGTACAGTAGCGTCATGAAACATCTGGGATATGGCCCCATTCAACTGTGTTTATGACGCATAAACACTTTAAGAGTAACATACTATTGACTAATCTCTTCCAGAAGCCACAACATTTCCACCATTAAAAATCTAAAGGATGAAAAACCTCTATTCTCGTAACAAAACAAATCAGCAGCAGTAGGTGATTTACTGATCAATTGGACAGAATACCAGAAACCTGGCTCCAGCCCAACCAATGGATCTTTTATAAAAAATAAGCTCCCAGCTCTAACAAAATGTTTGTGACTGGTACATGACTTCTTCTTAAGCTCTTTATAATGACCATTTCAACTTGGAAATTGTGTTTGAATTTTTTGTTCAACGTTTCTTGCCTAAATTCTTCCCTAGTATTAATCCCAACAGAAACCCAGAGAAGCCATGAGGACTTTGCATATTATAAATCAGAAGTAGGCAACCTATGGCAGCGGTGCCAAAGGTGGCACACCAGCTGATTTTCAGTGGCACTCACACTGCCCAGGTCCTGGCCACCAGTCCAGGGGGCTCTGCATTTTAATTTAATTTTAAATGAAGCTTCTTAAACATTTTAAAAACCTTATTTACTTTACATACAACAATAGTTTAGTTATATATTATAGACTTATAGAAAGAGACCTTCTAAAAACATTAAAATGTATTACTGGCACGCAAAACCTTAAATTAGAGTGAATAAATGAAGACTCGGCACACCACTTCTGAAAGATTGCCAATCCCTGTTATAAATGCACAGAATATCCCACTATTGTCTATGGTTCTTGAGTATCAATGGCCAGTCAGAAGGAAAAGGAAACTGAGGGGAAATATGTCTCTGAACCAGACACAAATAACTGTCCCCCAAACTAATTTACTCCGAGATTCTGATAACTACAATCACCTCCATTCTTCTACTATGGAGGAAATCATTTATTTCCCAACTCTCACTTATCTTCTAGACATTGCTAAACACACTTGGGCACCAGCAGCTCTTGAGACTGATGGGCAGTCAGCTATGTGAAGAAGGTACGTAGCTTCTTTAGACCATTTTACACCGCAGTCTAGTGGAGGTTTTAGGAGAGCATTTAGAAATATCTCATTCGTGAAGGTACTCCTTTGTGATTTCAAACAAGCAACAACATGTGAACTCATAGAACACACCTATAAGAAAATATTATGGGTTATGGAAAAGTAACTAGTTGGAATACCACATGATATAATATCAGCACTATATCAGATGATTTATTTCCCTGATACTTACCTTGCCTAACTGCATTGTTAATGTTTTATGGAATGCTAACTTATTTGACAATAAAGTTGGTTTAAGATTTCAGAAGAGTTTTGTGACAATTCAATTATAAGATTATCTCAAGAGCGCACACACACTTTCTGTCTTGTTGCTTTAATGGCAGCAAAGTACTTTAGCCCCCAAACTCCAGGTTACTCTTGCACCCTTTCATTTTCCAATACATGAAGCTCTTGGAGAAAGAAAGAACTATTAGCACTTAGTGAAACAAAATCTAAAATTGGCACCAGAATAAAGGTCCTGGAAGGAAATTTTCTATTATACATAAAAAATGCTGGTCCCATTGATGTTCATTCAGTGACTTTAATGGAGTCAAGGATTTTATCCTAGGACTTCAATCTAGGTGCCTGTTTTCAGTTGTTTCACAGAGCACAATGCCAAAGAATTCACACAGTTACAGGAGCGTGCAGGAGAATTGGAATTTTATTCCACTCCACATTCAGATTATTTGTCATCCCCTGGATTTGAGATATATCTATATCTACTTTGCTTTGTTTAAAAGAAGGGTAAAGTCAATGGAGTTGTACAGGAGTAAGAGAGAGGAATTTGGCTTTATTTTTTACATTTGCTTCATGTGTGCAAAACAAGATAGAACAGAAAATAGATTCCTTATGTACGTAATTCCTTCAGTTCTGTGGTAAAACAGAGCCCTTAGAAAACCTATACAAATTCCATTATGTCCCCTTCCTCCCTATCAACTAACAGCACATTTCTCTTTTGTGTCTCACTTGGCTTTTGCATCTTTCCTTGCAGCTGGCTATGGAATGCTGGTTTTGAAACACCACTGAATCATTACAGATTTCACCCTCTCTCTAAAAGCTGGTTACAATGTGTGATGAGCCCTCAACACAAGAATCAAACACTGAAACATTTTGCACAGTGTGTTAAATGGGTACACTTATTACGATAGCTCCAGCAACTGCAATTGCTTTTAGATATCCCCATTTAAATGTTCTCAGGCTAAATTTGTCTAGATGGCTGTGCAATTTTAATTTTATGCTCACCATATTATAGGGGCAATAATAATCAAATGAAAACTAAGTATCTAGAAAATGTATGCTTCTTCTGGTAAAATACATACAAGCACTGGGTCTTGTTATGCATTTCTATTTAGGCAAAATTCCCATTGATTCCAAAAGGAGGTTATGTTATACCAATAGAATAAAAACCAGCAGGATCTTATTAAGAGGGATAAGGCAAAGATGCCACATTTATTGTAAATATAATGGTAAAGCAAAAGATAGAAGTAAACAACGTTGTTTGACTACTTATTCCTATCACTACTTATTCCTTATACACACAAAAAAACCCAACCAAACAAACAAAAAGAATCCAGAATTTCTTCCTATTTTCCTGATTTTGATTGCCCTGCTGAAGTCACAACTTTGGTTTTTATTAAAAACATTTTAAATTTTGTAAAGCACCGAGTTACCCCTTAAGGGTTAAATGCCAAATCCCAAAAGCCAGCCAACACTGATTACCTGTGTCTGGCAAAAAGGTCTGTCAGTTTTGCAACTTTGAATTAAATAGTTAAATGGATTTTTAGTGGCATTATTAAAAACAAAACAAAACGAATTTATCTTAAACCTACAAAACAGGAGTTTTACAAACCAGATGTGTTGGTTTAGGTTCTTAGAACCTTACATATTTCCACAGACAAATAGATACATATACATTTTCTTTTACTTAACATTTCTTCTACATTGCTGTTTTTACGTAGCTGTACATAGATTATATTTCCTTCATACATTTGGGTCAGTTAAGTTCCAATAGAATCCCCTCATGTTTTTAACAAATTTGACTAAATTGTCCATAGTCAAATGATTT